CACGCTTTGGAGAATTTCGAGAGCAAACTCGTCTTTTTAAGTTCATTACCCAACCAACCGAGTGTTCACTGAACATAGCCGACCTATGTTATATTCCTGGCCTCTCCGTTAGTGATTTCGGAGAATAATTGGCTGACTTTAAGGATTCAGACACGTGAGTGAATAATTTCAAGTCAATCAATGAAGATTTGGAAAGGATCGCACGACATAAAGTGGAGTTGGCAAGCAAGCACATGTAGACAGAAATTAAAAAAATGTCAACCCAAAGACCAGCTGATGATAAAAAACTTTGAACATGCTTCCGGTCACATAGCAAGCACTGCAGCGTGTGAGTATTGCTGTATTGACCCTGTTTGGATCTACGTGTGCAAGTGAGCAGTCATTCTCACACCTTAGATACATCAGGCCCACAATAAGACCACATCTAACGGATGAAAGCCCCAACGCTTGCATAAAGCTTAACCTCGCCAACTACCGACCAGACAATAAAACACTCAGCGAATCCATGCAACGCCAGCAGTCACATGGACAATCAGAACATTATTGAAAACAATAAATTCAGAAGCTTAAAAGACTCGCATTTATTCGAATTTCATTTAAAGTAGACTATATGGCTCTTTCTGAAATATATTTCCAACAGTTGCTTTCTTGGCTCTGTGAGTTAAAAGGTTGCCGACCCCTGATCTAGGACATCTGTTTATGCCCGACTGTGCTGTGTATCCAGGACAACGTAGCTGTTTTTCAAAGTTCAAAGCCAAATATTTTAATGAAGCCAAAATATCAACAGTTCATGGAAATATCCTGGGCGTGACTTAAGGAAAAACCTACCTTCAGGACATAAAATTATATTACGATGCTAAGTAACCTGTCCCAAATACAATGTTTTCTCGAAAAATGGAAGTTCAGATTAATTTTTATACAAACAGACTTTATTCTCGTCGGTGGAACGATAAAAAGTAGTCCTCATCCAACACGATGCTACTGTACCTGACGCGATTGTCAACTTCAACAAAACTTGCTACACGGACACCTATAATATATCGGCATAGTGGATGACTATGTGATGATGAGGAAAGAAATGAGGGTAGCTTGTGGTTGAACAAACAAGACAACAAATCTTGAAGTATCGGAAGCTTTGCTTTAGTTTTTTCCAGCAGATTAGCGAAGCAGTGTATCTATGAAAAAACTAACTGATTAAAGAGGCACTGTCAGGACATCAGCTGTGTGGTAAATTTTTCGCCAATTTAACCTAGACTTTAAAAAATATAGCCTACATGACTTTATACGCATGGGTTTTATACCCAGTTGCGAGCTTTAGTCGTTCCTCGATTGAAGACATTTGTTTCGGCAGTTGTTTAATGCCACCCGACTGCACTTTCTGGATACTGATGCTTTCAGATGCATTAGGCTCAGGATTGTGCATGTAAACCTATATTTTCTCGGTAGAGCTGATTCTAATTGCATGGCAAAACTGAGATAATTGGAAAAGAGATTTCAGACAGCGATTTAACGGAAGAATGCGTGCCTCTTTGTAAGTCCTGCGTCTGGAAAATGCGCACATATTTTGGATTACCTGCCACGATACCCAGTAGTCCACTTTGATGAGCTACGTTTCTTAGATCTACGCGATTAACGTATTCGCTGAAAGTAGTGAAGTTTGAGCGACTGGCCTTGGGAAGTTCATCCTGCGCGTTTGTGTGAGATGTGAATAGTAAGCCATTTGACAGGAGTTAGGATTTGGGATTTATTCTTATCCAAACGGAGTGGAGAACGGTCACCAGGGGGTGAGAAGGACATGCTATCGCCACCTGGCGTCCGCGTCGGCCACGGATGAGAGATTTCCTGTATTAGGGTTTTCTGACAGCACACCCCTGGAGTTGCTAGCCGTATAGAAACCGCCTCGGCTGTTGCTAATATCCTTTGGCACAGGCCCTTAGAACACTTGGCCGGCGGCCACTAGACAATCTGAAAGGCTTCTTTAGTATCAACTCGGTGATTTATATTGACTAGGTGTGCCGGCATTAAATTTGAAATCGATCTACGTTCACTTTTACCTTACCAGGCCGGTATGTGTTCACACAAAAGACTTTAAAGAGACCTCGTTGTTCGGCCACAGGTGCAGGTGAGGGAGTAAATGCACGCTGATGTGGCCTTCAAAGTGAGTCGGCCTTTACCTCCCAAATGTAAGAGGAGGAACTTCGTGGAAAATACGAAAGGTTCACCACACGGAAAACGCTTGTGATCGCCATTTTCAGCCGTGGTCTTATTAGTTCGCTTTGTCCATCCCTTAAGAAAGGCAGCCTTATAAACACGGCTTTATTTTCTGCCGTTAAGACAGTAAACCTTTTAGTATGTTCATCAATATTCCTGAGGATAAACCTTTTCGGGAAGCATGTTCTGCAGCTGCTGGAATTCTGCTTCAACATTTTCAGGTGACTGGATATACCTCAGTCTAGCCGCCGATCACTGCACTAAATTGCGTTTTCTATTTAGCTGAACAAAACTGTGAAAGGTGATGTATTGCCCTGTCCACTTTTTCCTTCAGAATACCCTGCGTTGGATAGATCCGTCCCTTCGCCATCGTAGAAGAACATAAAAAACGCGATTTCATTATAAACCTCAGACTCTACAGAAAACAAATCTATTCACAAACCTTTTCCAATTCTCATATTTTCAGTATCAGTGCACTTTTACAGGCAAGATGATGAGTTGGCAAAAAAATACGTTTGCCGATTAGAGTTTTCATAACGACGGTATAAACGCTGGTATAGATTAGAATGTTTCACTTTAGTATTAAAACAGTACCTTGAAAGATATATCACAGTAACAAAACCACTCACGCTCATTTAAATGGCCTA